GGATTTGGAACTCTTCAGTGGGCAGCTTTGCATGATTGGATGCCTCGGGCTTATTGACAGTGAAGAAAGCAAGCTGCATTTCCCGTGCCTGTTTATACATACCCGTTTCATTTTCCATAAAGCAACGAAGCATAAATTGTAGGGAGTTTTTTCAGCATTGAGAAAAATAACATGACATTCTTCCCCTTATCATTTGAAAAGCTTGTGCAGCCTACAGAGTTATGGAATTATTTCAGGACCTCACATCCTCGTTACAGTTACTCAAAAAACGGAAGCAGCTGGCACCATTCTTGAAAGGAATGAGGCATTCAGCTTTGGAACTGTTATAAAGAAATCCTTTCTGCACTATCCAAAACTAGAAGACGCAGATGACTTTTTATCCAGTCTTTCTCTTCTCTCAGAAGATCTTACCCTCCATTCATCTGCATTTCCTGATCCTATGACTTTCACTCACTCCGAACGAACGGAAATTCAAGTGGAGATTCTTTCACTTGGCTCGTTATTTGGGCGTTATTGGTCTCTGAGAAATATATCAACCATCGACGAGGAGACTTCTTATCATGCTAAAACTGAATATACCGAAAAGCAGCTCCTTTTGAATGTGTCAGCTCAACTCATGCTTAGTGGCGATGATTACAGCAATTTTTCTGTGCTTTTCTTGGAGGGTCTTTATGATATGCAGGTAGGAAAAATGTACCTTGTTGGTTGCAGGGATGTCCGAGCTGCATGGAAAATCTTATTGGAGAGCATTGATCTTGAAGCTGGTTTAGATTGTCTAATTGAAGTTATAGTCGCTTATCCACCTCTTCCAGCACAGTGGTTAGTCAATCCAACAGCAAGAATTTCCATTACCAGCCAGAGGAATGAAGATGATCCTCTCTATTTTTCCACAATTAAGCTTCAAACTCTTCCCATTCTGTACCGGAAGCAGCGAGAAGACATCCTTTCTCGTCGAGGCATTGAGGGGATCCTCCGGATCCTGACACTTTCATTTGCTATTGCTTGCATCTCAAGCCAACTCTTTTACATGAAGCATGATTCAGATTCTGTTTCTTTCATATCTCTTGTAATGCTTGGTGTCCAAGCTCTTGGATATAGTATTCCTCTAATCACAGGGGCAGAAGCTCTCTTCAAAAGGAAAGCTCATGAATCTTATGAAATGACTTCTTATGATCTCCAGAAAAATCAGTGGTTTTACATTATTGATTATGCAGTGAAACTTCTTGTATTGATGGCGTTCCTACTAACTCTAAGGCTTTTCCAGAAAGTGTGGAAATCTCGTATCAGGTTGCTTACAAGAACTCCTCTGGAAGCACATCGTGTCCCAAGTGATAGGAGAATACTTCTTACTACCTTGATCATACATGTTAGTGGGTTTATAATTGTTCTGATTGTGCATTCTGTTAAAACTAGCCAAAGACCTCTACCAACATCTGAAAGATACTTGAATTCTATGGGCAGCGGATGGGAAACCGAACTCGAGGAGTACATTGGTCTTGTTCAAGATTTTTTCTTGCTGCCTC